ACATAAGAAATTTCTGTATGTCTAAATTTAATAATTGTAATTTGGGAACTGAGAGTGATTACCAATGTGAACATATTTCTTCAATGAGAACATTCTATTAAAATATAATTGTATTGAAACTATTGTCCTATTTTTGAATTGTAGAAATGTTATCTGACTGGGATTATTAAGCGTTTCTTGTTTTCAGGAAGGAAACAACTGAACTCAGAAAGCTCTATATTCCCTTATCCTTCAAATGCTACAATTCTTTATGGAATAATTTGCATTCTTACTTGAAATTCTACCTTAAGCATAGTGAGCCCTCTGATGTAATAGAAGACTGCAAAATCTGATCTTGCTGACAGCAAAGACTGTTTTGAGGAAAGCATATAGTATTGAAAGAAAGTCTTATGGTGTTTGCAGAAAAAATGTCAGAACTTAAGATAGGAGCTAATAGCTTTGGATAATGTTCAGTGGCTAACTGGGAGGCTTTTCAATAAGAAATGCTGGCCAGTCACAGAAGCAAGCCAAAACATGTTAAGCCAAAAGTAAATGAACACAGTTGCTGATCTATTTGAGCCAAGAGAAATAGCCTTCCACAGCAAGGTGAATCCAAAACAAGGAATGCAATCTATTCTTTTCAGGGCAGGTTAGAAGAAAGAACCCAAGATAGGGATCATATTAAAACTGAAAAAAAAGGTCTCTGATTTTTACAATAATTCACTGGTAAGTTTGGAAGGAGTTGCATATGGCTCCTGACAGACTTGACCATATTGGAAAATTCATGCGATATTTAGTAGGAACAAATCAAGATTTCTCCTTTTAAATGTGATGTCTGTATAGAAAAATTGAGTTTAAAAATAAGGAAAATTTACTTCAATATTTAATGCTAGAAAGAAACATGACAAAGGACTACTGTGCTGTCAATATAACACATTTAATGATATCTTGATATTGTATTTCTTCTATTATAAGTCAGATACCAGAGAAGCTGAAAGTAAAGAGTCATAATTTTCAGCACTAAGAAAAGAACCACCAAAATACAGCTTTGTCAGTTCAAGAGAGGTTCACAATGTGTTTTTAAAAAGCGTTCACTTTAGCTGTAGTCACAATATTAATAGTTCATAAAATACATATTGCATTGTTTCTTGGCCTTTTGACAAAGATCAAGTGTGGAATTTGTTCTTATCAATTTAATACCTGATAATATCAGTTTAATTCCTATATCCAAAAACTATATTAAGTGAATTTGGGGGCTAGGAGATGGAATAGGAGCTTGCTACATATAATTGATATCTTAACCTAGTTTACAGTGTTTCTAAGAATAATGGCCAGCCTCAGAGGAAATAAACATTTATACACCCTCACAATTGCAAAAAAAATTGCAGTAGAAAAAAAAGAAAAGAAAATTATATATCCAATGATTCTTTGCTTGTATGAACTGTCAACAATGTTACAGAGGAAATGAATAAGATTACAACCTACAGATTTTATATGGAAACTAGATATTCTACAAAGCTGTCAGTCTAGGATTGGCACAGAGATGAGTCTTTGTTTCTTATACGTGCCAATCCAAGTTCTGTCTGAATTACTTTTTCCATGTTTTGTTATCAATAGCACTGGCTTTCTGGTCTTCCAGGTGCTCTGATGGATACTTTGGTTCAATCTCTCTGAGTCTCACACTGTGTTGTTGCAATTACTGAGAAGTCAGCTCCTGGCTTGGGTAACCTTAGCTTATTTCCTGATCTACTGCCAGTTTTTCTCCATCTTCTTTATTTTTAGAAGTAATTTACATAATTACCATTCTGATCATACCACTAGATCCATGTATCTCTGTTACCAAAGATATATCTTAACTTCAATGTAGTTCACATTCCAAAATGTATATTGTTTACTTCAAACTTAGGGAAAATTTGTAGTCAACCAATTCCTTTGTGTTCAACCTGAGAGTGAAAGAGCTTCACAATCCTCATGAGCTCTGCATTATATTGGCTATATACTTCACATGCAAATATTTTAAGCATGTAAGTGAATAATCTCGGATATTAAATCAAACATTAAAAATGTTATAGAACTAGGTTGATTCTCCAGTGTAATTTATATTAGTTTGAGCCTGGTAAAAGTGAAGAGAAACAAAACAGGTAAAGCATTTTCTACACTACCCAATCTCTTACAATCTTTTAGTTTCTTCTTCCTCACATTCTGCTTTGATGTGTCCTGCATCAACTTCAACTATTTGTGCTGTCTTTGTTATTTTATTCAGGCTTAGCTGTATGAAAAACTTATAGAATTGATAAGATGGATGAACAGTAACATAAAAAACTTCCTAAGCACATTTTCACTCTTCAACAAAGCAGGGCAGCATTCTCATTATCTGTTTGCATGAACTTACACACAGGCTTTCAAGCAAAACATAAGAATATTGCATTTGAAAATGATTTAATCACAGTGAAGATTTTATCATGATGAAGCTTTTAATCATGATGAAGTATTTTAACCACAGCCTATAAACTCTCATCATTTTGGATTTCTTTTCCCCCAGGAGAAATTGGAAGTACAAATATAAATATAGAAGAACCCTAAAGAGACCATACATATTTTTTTACTTTTCTTTTGCTATGATAAAATGTCATGACATGAAGCAACATATAGAAGAAATAGTTTATTTGGCTGAGGGTTCCAGAAGGAGAGTCCATAATGCAAGGGAGGCATGACATCAGCTGACTGGAGCAGGAACCTGAGAGCACATCTTCATCCACATGCAGGAAGCATGGAGAGTGAGTGAACTATAGGTGGATTGAGACTGTGACTTAAAAAAATTATTGAGCTTTCATAAATTTCATAAAATAATTCTTAAGCAAAGTCAGACCCCCCTCCCCCACCCATGCCCCCCACACCTCCCCATTGGACCTCATGTACTCCACCATACATCTTAAGTCCTATCCAGTCAAGCACTTGTATCCAGATGTCCTTCAGTGCAAATTCATCTGCTGGAGTCCAATCAACCTACCTAGAGATTGTAAGTAAGGCTTATTCTTCCTCACCCAATACTAATCAGTCTCCAACCATTCTCAGAGAGGGCCAGCCCACCACCCCTTTCCATTGCTCCACTCTGGGCCCTTGTCTGATTGAGTTGGCATGGGTCCTGTGTTTGATGCCACCGTTGCCACAAGTTCACATGTATAAGCTTCCAGTAGCCTGAAAGTCTTTGCTTCCCTATGCCCTTTCCAATTTCACAATGGTCCTTGAGTCCTGGGTGAGTGAGTTTTAATATATGAGTCCTTTCTAGGGACCACACTTTGTAGTCATTTATTCTTCAAAACTTGGCCAGTTGTGACCTGAGATTATAAATTTTTAAAGCCCACTCTCAGTGACATACATCCTCCAGGAATGTTTTACCTCTTAAAGATTCTGTGATCTTTCCAAATCCTCATCTAGCAGTAATCAGTTGCCAATATTCCTTTAGATAAGATTGGGCTCTGCTGTTCATTTTCCCAGTTCTATGCTGGGTTACTGTCTGGGATTCTCTTGGACCACCCTGGCGAACAACTCAAAGGAAGGTATGTACTGTTTGGCATTCTTTTTTGTTAGTAGAGGTGAAAAAATCATTACCATTTGAAATGTACATGAGGATTTTATATCCATACTCAGGTGCCAAGGATCTGAGGGTAACTGACTATGACTAGTGATAATCAGATACATAGAGGGAGACCAGGTGCAAACATCTAAGTGTTAGATGCATTAAAAATGAGGTTATCTGCCGGGCATGGTGATGCACGCCTTTAATCCCAGCACTTGGGAGGCAGAGGCAGGCAGATCTCTGGCCTTTTCCATGAAAGCCATGAAAACCAGAAGAGACCAAAATACTTCCAGTACTAAAGAATCATAGATGCAAACTCAGAATACTTAATCAGCAAAATTGTCTAACATAGTCAAAGGAGAAAGAAAAATTGTATATGACACAAATAGACTGAAATAGTTCATGTCCAAAAAAACTAGTCCTAAAGAGAATACTTGAAGCAACAGAAAAGACTGAAGAAAGAAATGACCATACCCAGTAGGCTACAGAAAGTAAAAACAAAGTTATAATTATGAAAACACAAAATAGAACCAAGAACAGAAACAGGAATAAAAATGACAATAACCAATGCCCATTTCAATACTGACTTTAAATACATCAATGGCCTTTACTCCCAGGCAAAAGACAAAGTCTAGTTGAATGGATTAAGAAACAAAATCCATCTTTGTATTGTCTGCAAGAAACTCATCTCACCTTTGAGTATAGGTGCTTCCTTAGGGTGAAAGCATAGAAAAAGCTTTCCCAGCAAATGGCAATAATAAACAAGCAGGTGTTGCTGTTAGAATATCTGACAAAATAGACTTCAAATTAAGAATAAAAAGAAGACATAAAGAAAGTCACTTTCTTCTGATCAAGAGAAAAATTGACCAAGAAGACATTACTGAATGTATATGCACCAAACTCTGGTGCATCCTATTTCATAGAGTACTACAGGATGATTAACCTCCACTCAATAAGAGTAGGTAACTTCGGTACCTGAGTATCTCCTACAGGCAAGTTAACTGGTGTCCTAGTTTGTTTCTTCATTGCTGTGACAAAATACTCTGACCACTACCAACTTGGGGAGGAAAGGGTTTATTTAGCTTATATATCCCAGGTCACAGTTCATCCAGGAGCCCAAGGTAGAAACTCAGGGCAGGAACCTGGAGGCAGGAGTTGGAGCACAGGCCATGGAGGAATGCTGCTTACTGGCTTGCTCCCCTGGCCCCTGCTCAGCCTGCTTTCTTACACCAAAAAGGCCCACCTTCCCAGGAGTGGCACCAGCCACAATGGGCTGGGCCCTCCCACATCAGCTTCTATAAAATCCAAAACAAGTACTGTCTTATTTCAAAGGGAAGAATTAGGTACACCTAAGCAAAACCAAAGTCCAGGAAAGTAGCTTGAGGCTGGACATCAGGGATTTACTCACGATCCTCAGGGCTCCAAAGGGTATTGGCAGCTCCACTGCTCTAACTCTGTAGTCCACAGACCACTCAGCTTGTCTCACAGACCCAGGCCAGCTCCATTCCACACCTACCACTGTCCTTGGTGGTTGTCCCATGGTCTTGTTATCTCCAAGAAGCTGGGATCACCACTGAAACTGAAGCTACACCTTCACCAATGGCCTCTTCTTGCCTCTTGGGGTGCAAAGCCTCAGATTCTCTCCATGACCCCTTCAATTCTGAGGTCTTTGCTGCAACTGAAGCTGCACTTTCACCTATGGCCTTTCCTGGCCTCTCAGTGCCAAGCCTCAGCTGCTCTCTGTGACACTTTCATGCCTTCAACACAAGAACCATGAAGGAGACTCTTACACATTACCAAGTCCTGCTTCCAGCTTGAAATAGAGGTGTGGGGTCCCTCTGTATGCTGACCCTGAGGAAATACCTCCCAGAAGACTGCACCACAGTGATGTGGGTCTCCTGTTTCTTCCAGCTGATTTTTCAGCCCCAGCTAACCAGAACTAATTGTCCCAGTAAAGCAAAGGTTTTACTTCAGGTTCTGGTCTCTTCTTAATCACAGATGATTCTTCAGCCCCAGCCAACCAGAACCCACATATTCTCAATCCAAAATCTCACATGAAGAGCCCTGATAGCCTCTACTTCCCTTTGAAGCTTCACAAGCCAGGCCTCCATGATCTACAATTCTTTCAGCATAACTGTTCCAAACTCCACTGCAACAAACTCTGAGCACGCAATGGCTTTTCCAGCCCAAAGTTCCAAACACTTCCACAGTCCTCCCCAAAACACCAAGGTCAAGTCTGTCACAGCAATATCCCACTCTCTCGTACCAATTACTGTCTTAGTTTGTTCTCTCCGTTGCTGTGACAAAACACTCTGACCACTACCAACTTGAGGAGGAAAGCATTTATTTAGCTTACATATCCCAGGTGACAGTTCATCCAGGAACCCAAGGTAGGAACTCAGGGCAGGAACCTGGAGTCAGGAGCTGGAGCACAGGCCATGGAGGAATGTTGCTTACTGGCTTGCTCCCCTTGTCCCCTGCTCAGCCTGCTTTCTTACACCAAAAAGGCCCACCTTCCAGGGGTGGCACCACCCACAATGGGCTGGGCCCTCCCACATCACTCATCAAGAAGATGCCCCTCAGACATGGCCACAGGCCAGTCCAATAGAGGAAATTCCCCAATTGAGGCTCCCTCAAGACTGGTGTGTCAAGTTGATATGAAGCTATCCAGCACAACTGGACACCTAATAAACAGATACCTGAATTAATGATATCATACGTGAATGGACCTAACAGACATCTACTGAAAATTCCACCA